TTACAGCTTGTAAACCAATCAAGCAAAAACACACAGACATAACAAAGCATTACATGACCAAATACTCCATTAAACTGGAGCTAAAATTATCTTCAGCAGTTCTATTAAAATTTACACTTTACAGTTCATCAGATCATACAGTCAAATTGATTCAAAGTTTTCTATCTAAGGAAAACCAGTTGATTGCATCAACTCATTAACTCCTCAGCAATCTCTCACACTAAGCATGCTTGTAGCGACAGTGGAGAGGAAAAACTCCCTTTTAACAGGAAGATATGTGCAGCAGAACCAAGCTTTTTTCTCAATTTGTTGCCTGAATAAAGCATATTGCAGTAGTCCAGATGGCTAGAAATAAGAGTGTAAAACCTGTTCAAAGGGGTTTAAAGATAGAATCTGTTTTACCTTAGATAAAAGAAGATGATAAAAACACAATTTTGAAAGGCTCTTTATTTGTTTGTCCAGTTTACAATCGTTGTCTATGGTGACACCAAGCCTGGATGCTTTGGAACGTACAGAATCCTTGAAAGGCATTAAGTCAGAGATGGCACTGCCAAACACCATCACCTCTGTCTTGCTCTTATTTAGAAAATGAGGAAAATCAGAAAAAGGGCAAATTAGAAAAATCTTTGAAAACCAAGCCTTGACGTCAACCAGACAGTCGATTAGGGGTGTCAGGGGGCAGTGGCTGTTTATTGCAATGGGCAAATAAATTTGGATATCGTCTGCATAGAAATGGTAAGCTATGCCATATTTAGTAGAAATCTCTTTGAAAGGCAAGGTATAGCACAAACAATAACGGTCCCAGGATAGAACCCTGAGGGATTCCACAATAATAGACCATGTAGTCAACGATGTAATCAGATAATGTAGTCTCATAACAAATAACAGTTTTAGAAGTTTTTTAAGGTTTTTTTAAATAAAATGTTTGATAGAATAATCACAACAGCATATCATGAAAAGAACCAAAAATATCTTTTTAGAACTACTTTATCTTGTAAAAAGTTGGAAATTTTGTGAGGATGTTTTAATCAAATAATATCCATGCTTCATATTTATGACACATTTTATGCTTTTCCTCATTATAAAATCTAGAAATACAAATACACTTTTGCTTGTTTGAAATGGCAACAGATTTCAGATATTTAAAAAAATAAAACTTTGTTTCATTATAGTGCTATAAAAGATTTGGGGCTCTTAATTTTTACTCAGCTGAACCCAGAGAAAAACTTTGTATTTTAAAGGTTTAGACCCCTGCTCTGTTTAGTACATGTATGTACGGCTGGGTGACTGCAGTTCCCAGTTTCAGACAGCAGAGGGAGACAGAGTGAATAATTTCTAAAGTACTGCAAAACGTATCCAGAAAAATAGAAGAAAGAATGTGTAACTTACACTTTTCTTTAAAGGCTTGCAAGACATCTTTTCTTAGACACCAACTAAATGAATTCTAGAACTTAGATTTTAACATAATTCATGTGGTAGAAGAAGAGGGAACAAGACTTTATTTAAATAACATAAGGTAGCATCACCAAGAAACCTGTGCACAGCCTTCATACAAACATGATAAAAAATAAAAAAAACTGACATGGATGTACTTCACATTTAAATATTCAAGATAAAAAACACACAATATCCCTGTAAATAGTCCAAAAGTCCAGGACCTCTGTGGTGGTAAACTGCAGTAAACTGCTTTCATTATAGTGGTAACTTCCTGCTAAGCTGACTGCAGTATTTAGTGTCTCTTCTAAGACTTTACTATAGCAGTTATGATTTTCCCAAAGTGTTTTAAAGTTGGTTTTTTTTCAATCCCACAAAAACAAAATCTATTTTTATCTCTTAGATAGTCTTAATAAGGATGAGGTATTGAAAGTATGCATCTACAAAACATAAGTGCTGCTGTGGACTTCTTCATCTCTTTCATCCTCACAGTTCCTGCAGTGGAAAAAGAAAAACCATCAGATTTAAAGACTCTCCAGGTCATCAGTGAACAGACACATGTGCTCGGTTCTTACAGAGCTTTATGGAGGCTCTTCTGATTCATCATGTGCTCTCTGAAGATGTTGATCGCCTTGTAGGGGTCCATCTGATCTTGATACGCCTTGATCAGCTCGCTGTACCTGCCAAACAAAACATCAAACAAGAAAAAAATTAAGAAACAAATTAAAGAAATATAATTTTTCTATTAAACATTTTAGGAGTTAAAAAATCCTCTTGTACCCTCTTTTTGCAGGTTATATTATAGCTTAGCTTTGGCTCTTTTTTTGGCTAGCCGTACTCTGTTCTTTTTGCTGTTTTAGGTTTGCTAAACTTTTGCCAGGGGATTTCTAGCTCATTTCTCTTTTGCGTTTCTTAGTGTTTTAGCTGCTTTGTTATTTACTTTCTCTAGTCATTATTTCTGTATTGGACCATTTCCCTTAGTTTTTTCCATGTATTTTTCCATCCATCCATCCATCCATCTTTTCCCGCTTTATAAAGCCAGTTATACACTATGTGTATGTAACCCTGCTGTATTTTTATATTTTGTGTTATTGTGAGAGGTGTCAGGACTCCTGTCTGTGTGTTTGTGTTTTCTGCGTTTGTCTCCCTTCCTCCACCAGGAGGCGCCTGGTTCTGGTCCGCCTCCTCACTCACCTGCTGATGGTTTCCTCGTTAACGGAGTGTTCTTAAGCTGCTGACTGCCACTGCCTCGACGCCACAGTGTTTGCCAGTTTTGGGCACTCTAGCCAAGCTGAGTTTTGCTAAGTCAAACTGAGTTCTTGTCAACCGGAGTTTTAACATTGTTTTTGTCTTTGCCTCTCGGCAGGAAGTCATCCTGCAAACTGGATTTTTCGGACCTTCTCTCCCTGGAAGGATCAACTGAACTTCAAACTGAGCTGGGATTCAAACAGGAGGTTTAGATCCATTTTCTCCAAGAGTTTACCTCGCTCTAGTTTTTCATTAAATTCTCTAACTTTGTTGCTTTTCAGTGTCTGTCTGCCCTTCGGTCCTGTGCAGCAGATCTAAACTCTTTCAGTTTTAGTCTTTAATCTGTAGACAACAAAACTGAGCTCTAAAAGGATTCTAACTTAAATGTACAAAAACACAACAAATCCTTAAAAGTTTTGATTCAAAGAATATAGACTGGTTAACCCATAGTCGTTGCCAATGGTGGAAGCAGAAGAAAAATGAGTTCTCCAAGTATTTGAATGAAATGCATGCAGCCTGCTACAGCAAATACTTTGAGATAAGCCAACTTTACACACGACAGAATCACTTCCACCTTTTTTTTCCCTGGTAAAACGTCATTATTTAATCTATTTTGATATAACAGGATCTCCACCACCTTTAGTCAATATCCAGCACAATGTTGTGTTAGTTTGAATACATCCCCTTACAAAGCAGTTACAGTTATTGGTTCACACTCTACAGGTGGGTAGCCTTGATCAAACACTGGGTCAAAATTTTTCTAAGCTGACCTGATAAGACATCACTGCCCCTTTCATATATAAATCTGTTAAACAGTAATAAAACTATTGGTTTATTCTAGAATATAATTGACTCATGAAAGACCTTTTTACTGGAAACAACTGTGCTTTTGATTAAGAAAGATCCAAAGGGGGGAAAAAGAGCGCTATGAGTCATGTTTTATAGCAATTTGAAGGTAAAAAAAAAAAATCCCCGTATTTATGTTCGCTCTTTGTTTTTACCATTAATGTTGTCGTTTTTTTACAGAAGAATGGGTCAAAATAAGGTTAACCGATTGCATTTTACTCAAAGCAGTTCAGACTTACCGCTTTACCCAAACAAAATTCATGTTCTCTGTCATCCATTGCTGGTAGAAGTGGTTCTGTCTTAAGCTTGGAGGCTGCGTCCCGAGCTCCTGATGCAGCCTCTTAACCAAGAAGTTCTGGAGGCAGGCCCGGGCAGACAAAGCCACGAGCCAGTACACAGGCTCCTCCAGAACCACCCGGTGGAACGACTGCAGGGGCCACTGCAGCCACTGTGGGGGAGGAGAAGAAGGCTGGAGGCCCTGCAGGAGGAGAAGGTCAAGATCTGACTCAGAAAGTTCATGGAAAATATGAAAACAATTAGTGGCTTTGTGTTTCACCTGATTTCTTCTCCTGTACTGTCTTAGTATGTCCAGCAGCAGTGACCTTATATCATTGTCTTCATGAAGACCATTGATCAGGACCTACACAATGCAAAAAAAAAAGATGATGGACGTTTTTCAAATGATCAAAGGAGGAAAACCTCAATAGCCTCTGGTTAAGATAGTAAATGTTCAAAATATTTAATGAAAGATCAGAAAAATCTAGAAAAAGATGGAAAAAAAATCCCTCTTTAAAGGCAATAAGAGCAGCAAAGTGCAGGGTGATGAGATAAACAAGTAGAGAACACAGAATCTAGCAAATAAACCAACTCTGGTAAGAAAGTAATGATAAGAATAATAAAAGCACAACAAGGTTCAGCGTGTTCAATGCATGTGAATAAAAGTGACGTTTTAAAACAAGAATGAGAGGAGACCGCCTGACACGAGAAAATAAATCATTCCACAGATTTGGACCTGCAACAGAGACGGCTCTGCTCCTCTGAACTTACATTGTTTGCTTGTGTTATCTGGTGACCTCACAGAGATCAGAACGATAAGCGGGAAGAGGTGATAAGTGCTGGTGAAGGTTCTCAGTCATCCAGGTCTTAGTCATTCCGTAAAAATTCAAAAAAATATCCACTGGACTTGGTTTTCCAAGAATTGAAGTGGTTTTGCCACCTCTCCAGGAAGCTTTCTCAATTCAAATGAAAACATTGAATTGAGAAAGCTTCCTGGAGAGGTGGCGAAACGTCTTCAATTCTTGGAAAACCAACTCCAGTGGATATTTTTTTAAACTTTTACGGAAAGAAGAGGCGATAAGACATTTAAAAACCTATAGAAGAGTTTGTAAAGATCTGATTGTGATATTTAGACCTTAAAACATGGGAAATAAAATGTGGAAATGAATGAAAACAGCAAATTGATTTAGACAAACGGACAAGTTGGGGAGTAAGTTTGAAGTTAGGGGCACAGATATGGAAGAAAAACAGTCTCATTGGAATCTGCCTTTTTTTTAAACACCGAATTTTAAACACTGAATTTTTTTAGGCATTGAATTCCTTACACTCAATTTTTATCTGGTAAAAAAATCACCAGAAAAAAATTCAGCTGCAAAAAAAATTCAGCTGCAAAAAATTGAGCTGGAAATGTGTTGACCTTTTGGTGAACTTAAGCCAAAGCAATCTACACTTGATAGAGTCGAGCAGCTTCTAGCCAATGAAATTAGCTTATTTGGTCACATGACACAATGACTGTGCTCAGCGCTGTTCCCGGCTGAATAAAGCTTAATGAGGAATTTTTTTTGTTAAACAGATAGAATTACAAAACGTCAGTTAGTTACTAACAGACAGCTATTACAGTTTTTCCTCTTATCAGACTGGGTGAAACAACTGAGCCGATCACAGCTAGTATGGCACCCCTGTCTGCCAAGGCTCTTGGTTTGATCCGGAACAAGCTGTCGGCGGCAAACCGGCCGCTGGCCGAAATGAAGAAGAAAAAAATCTGCTCGACTCTATCGAGTGTACATTGCTTTGGCTTAAGTTCACCAAAAGGACAACACATTTACAGCTGAATGTTTTTGCAGCTGAACTTTTTTGCAGCTGAATTTTTTTCTGATTAATTTTTACCAGATAACTTAAATTAAATTGAGTGTAAGGAATTCAATGTCTAAAAAAATTCAGTGTTTAAAATTCGGTGTTAAAAAAATTCAGTGTTTAAAATTCAGTGTTAAAAAAATTCAGTGTTTAAAATTCGGTGTTAAAAAATTTCAGTGTTTAAATTCGGTTAAAAAACATTCAGTGTTTAAAATACGGTGTTGAAAAAATTCAGTGTTTAAAATTCGGTGTTAAAAAAATTCAGTGTTAAAAATTCGGTATTAAAAATATTCAGTGTTTAAAATTCAGTGTTAAAAATATTCAGTGTTTAAAATTCAGTGTTAAAAAAATTCAGTGTTTAAAATTTGGTGTTAAAAAACTTCAGTGTTTAAAATTCGGTGTTAACAAAACTCAGTGTTTAAAATTCAGTGTTAAAAAAATTCAGTGTTTAAAATTTGGTGTTAAAAAACTTCAGTGTTTAAAATTCGGTGTTAACAATATTCAGTGTTTAAAATTCGGTGTTAAAAAACTTC